TAGCTGTACACATGTGCCTTTTTAAGGTATGGCAGAACAAGTCTGAATGGAAGTCCTTCAATCCCTGGCAGATGTACTATTTATGTAACATGTGCCAGTCCATTATCCTCTACTGAGATATGCAGTTTGTATTTAAAAAAGAAAAATAAATCAGAAAAATGGTCTTGACGTTCAGTGTATATATTAGAACTGTAGATACTGTGCTTTCTAAGTCACAAAAATAACTTATTTTTAGAGTGATCTCCAGTTGTCTTGAGGCCTTCAGTTAAAGTAACATCTGAGACTGGAGCTGTGAGCCTTGTCTTGTGCCTCTGTGTCCTGATGGCAATCGTTCCATTACTTGTGATCCCCTCCAAGAGAAAATACAGCAAGATCATTGCAGTGTTATTACGAAACTCTAAGGGTAAAGTCAGAATTTTTGCATGTACACATTCAGTCAAATCTCACCATGGTCTCCCAAGGCTCAGTCTTCCTGCTCTGCAGTTTCTGTCCCTTTGTTTTCTCACCTGTTGTATCTCATCGCTGTTCATTTTAGTTGGGCATGACATGATGTCTGTGACCAGGTTTTTATTTATAGATACCTATTTGCCATTTTCCTTTCCACTTCTCCTGTGTCATATTCTTTTAAACATCAGATCATATATGTGTAGGGCTGTACTGTCTGCTCCAATAACAGACAGTGGTAATTACATCAAAATATGATAAAGCCATAAACCCTGACTGATTTCCTGTCTACTTCACACCAAATCTAATTAAAATGTTACATGAGTAAACATATCTACATGATGCTGTAGATAGGTTAGTGTTTTTAACAGTAAACATTTGTTGTTTAATCAAAAGTCTCTGTAAGTAAGAAAACAACATAAGCTTTACGTCTACCTAGCAAAGGTGCGTTAAGAAAAAAGCAAATGAAAATCTTTACAAACCTTTTACTATCACCAAAATGCATATAAACTGGAAGTGTTACAGGCCAAAGCACCGCCACCACCAACTGCACATGCAGTTGGCTGAGTAGAAATGTTACTTGATCTTCCCCTCCATTGTTTGAAGAGAGATTGCTCAGAGGTGATGGTGTTTTGTGGCCCATAATGACAGTCTGCTGCTATTGTTCCTGTGATGTGATACTTTCTGCCAAGTGTCTCATTACTGGGAGTGGACACGGTGTATTTCACTCGGTCAAAGCAATTCATTAAACTGCTGCTGAACATCACCTTTTCCTTTGAACGGATTTGGACTGTTACTGGTTTGGAACAGAAAAATAAAATATAAGCACGAGTTAGTTTTTTAACCTTTGGAAAAATGTTATTAGAATATTTGCATCTCTGAATAAACACATTTATAGGAAAATATGCTCTTTGCTAAAGAAGGAAGTGTTTTTTTCCTTTTAATGGTTTGATCTGTTTTCATAACTCAAATAATTAATACGTGCCTTTTCTGTTGTTCATTCTAGGAGGAGAGTCTCTAATGGGGTAATTTAAATATTTGGAGGATATTTTTAACCGGTGTTTCATTAATGATGTCTCATGGTGGAGGGGAAAATAAGGATATCTGCTTTTAAAAAGTAGAAAAACATATGGATAAGTTCCTGATGTATTAAACTCCTAAGGGAGGGTGTACGTGAACATTTTCAAGCCATGTGCAAGCTGACTCGGGTAAAACTGCTTCTCAGGAGGGATTTGTGCCACAGACAGATTAGCAACAGGACCTTACACCAATGCGACAAAAGGGGGCTTTTGTTCAGTTTGGGTTTTGTTTTTAACGTGGTAGGGCTTTAGCTGCTGATAGCAAACTCTGGCTCCGTCCTCAAGTGCTTTCCCGGCGAGGTTGGAGGGACCCAGGTAACGAGGTCATCTTCCGTTTAATTCTAAAATAGGCTCGGATGTGATTCAGCGCTCGCCGGAGTTAAACCAGGCTCCGCTCCCGTGTGCTGCCGTTTGTGGGGGAGTGTGAGATATTCCCCATTAAGATAAAACTTGTCTTTGTCACGGTAAAACAGCCGCCTAAACTAGGAGGCAGTTAATCAGACTATATACTTTACGGGCTGGCTTTGGAATATGTTGCAAAAGCACAACCCCAGAAATCTTTATTCATGTAAATAGTTTCCTGGAGCCAGTAGACCTGCTAATAAGCAACGAGTCACTTGAGTAATGCAGGATTATGTTTTAATTCTGTAATTTGACAGCCTGCTTATGTTTAATGATGTTTATTTGTAGGAATGATGCATTTTGGAAAGTGAGGTCAGCTGGAACATTTGTGGTCTTCATCTGTCTGCAGCCCTTGATCTTGCCATGTATCAGTCACTAAAAAAAGAAGTGATTACTCAACTGTAAAAATGAAATGGTTGTAATATTAGTGCATACTACCTTGTGAATATTCTGAAATGTAGGCTGCAGAGATGATGCTTATTTCAAAACACCAGAAAAACCCCCAAATAGTTGCTATTAAAGATTTTACAAATTAGCACTATCTCATTGGAATTTTAGTTTGAAATATGTGTGCTTTTTAATTTTAAAAATATTTTTTCTTCTCTGTAGAAAAAGTGTTTCAATGTGGTTTTAAGCTTTTTCTGTAGAGTAAATACTTTTTTCCCAGTGTCTGGATATCATTAATCTGGTAATGGATTATCTTATTTTTCACTGATTGCCGTGGATGTTATATTTCTCAGATTATATCAGATTCTCACCATTTTATGGTGCAGCGTAAAACATATTTGTCCTCTCCAAGCACCTCAAAACTAGAAAGATACTGTAATTTTGTACACATTTAACATTGGTTAATCCTAACAATCACTTCAAATTATTTTCATGCTGGAGAGAGAAAATAAAAATGTAATTATTAAGTACACTTACGTGAAAGACACTCAGACACCACAAAGACTAATGACGACAAGAAAATAGCTATTTAGAAAGATTCTTGCAAGAAAATTTACAGTTTCAAACTACAAATGAACATTATCATGACACATTTCCTGAAGATAGACCCTTCCTTGTGGATCTCCTAAGGTGCATGAGAAATGATCTACTTCTATGGCTCTTACAAAAAGAGGAAATCCAGAGTGAAAATGAAAATATAGACTGAAAAATACAATGCTATGATACATTAGCATTTACATGATCCAGTAAAGATATTAAAATGCAATCTCCCATAGGATATTGAATTTCTTTAACTCTTTTTGGTCCTCTTAAATATGAACAAGAACTTAGCATAGTTTAAAACACAGCAATGAAGCATCTGTCAAATCTACACCTATTGATATCATATAAGCACAAGCATTTCACAGTATCCCTGAACAAAATCATCTGTGACAATTTGCAGAGTGGCATTTTTTAAAATTATAGTTGTCCCAGTTGGCTGTTTCAACAACTGTGGCCCTTAAAAGAACAATAAGATTGAAAAGAAGCAATTATCCAAAAAAAAAAAAAAAATTAAGAAGAGAAAGAGAGAGAGAGCGAAATTCCATAAATCCTAAATTGAAGTAGTAAATATTTATGTAATCTCAAGATAAATTCTTGATATTTTTTCCACCTCCATGTTTTTTTCAGCTGCTTGGTGTATAATTGTCTCTCATCTATTAAAGGTTAGACTTGATGATCTTGGAGGCCTTTTCCAATTTTAATGATTCTATGATTCTACAGTGCAGTCATTCTGCCTTTCTGTGATGTGAAAAATGAGAGGATTAGTGGTTTAGTTTGGATGAGGTGTGCATTTCATCTCAAGTCAGCCAGCTTTTATCTACATGCTAACCAAAAAGATTTTCAAGATTCCTTCCCTGTTTTCTAAGAATTACCATGTTAGTCACCCTATCATTATCTTTATATACAAGACAAGTTAATTTCCCAGGAGTTACCATTAACTGGCAGAATTTGCAATAGCAATGTCAAGATGGTGTGGGAGGTTTCTTGGAACTGGGTTTTAAAGGCTGAGGAAGAAACAAGCAGAAAGACAGGCAATCAGAGGAAAGTTTTTTAATCTGATTTTCTTCTTTGGAAGAGCCACAGTGGATGGCTCCTCGTGCAAACCTTGGGACATGCTCAGGGAATGGTGATGACTTCATGAAATGAACACTGGCATGAGCATCCCCTTGCACAAAGGCCCACAAACCACCATGAGCCCTTGGAAGGCGTGTTCTGGGCTTTGCAGCTTTTAAATCTCATGGAGGAGTCGGGCTGTTTAACTTGTAAGTTAAACAGCAAACAATAAACAAATCTCTTTCCCCCTCCAGCCCTTTTTTTTTTTTTTTTCAGTCCTGTGTTACAGATGCAAAACAATAAAGTGGAAATAAAAGGTGAAATTTGTGTTTGAATGTCTGTGTTTGTTTTTGCTAACGACTCAGTGTAAACTGCACAGAGAAACCTGCATGTTTTTTAATTGAGGAAAGACAGTGCTTCTCAACTGACCTTCCAGTCGTTGCAAAAAGAGCAAAGTGTATGTTTGCTTTAAATTTGAAAGTAATTTTCCATTTACACCCAGCAACAGAACGTTGGATTTTGGATATGTCTAGCAAATGTATCTATGGGGAGGGGAGCTGGGGAACTTTGAACCATGCTTATCTGAATATGATGGTAATCAGTGGAAAGTATAAATTCAGATTTTCTTGTTTTTACAAAAGCACCTTTTATCAGTTTAACCCTGACCTCTTTACATGTTTCAGCAGGAATTTCGATCCTGAAAAATTTTAATCCAAATGCACAACATTGAATGGTTGTTTCTCATAATACAAGTCATAATTCAGGGACAGTTGCATCAGTTAAAAAATGTGTTAGATAAGGAATTCTTAAGATAAAAAAAATAGTTAACTTTGTCCAGTCTTATCTGTTTTGGAAGGATAAATACCGTAAGCATGAAATATTTCAGCCAATTACTGTGAAAAACTGTAAAGTTATACTATAATTTGAAATCCTACCATGAATTAATTCCCTGCTTAACAGATTGGTAAATACTGTGGCAAAAACTAAATACTATGGCCTGAAAGTTTTTTTAAAAAGAAAAATTTCAGTGTGCCCTTCCCCTGTTCCACTGTCCTTGTGCTGATCTGTACTTGCTGCTCATGCTCTTCAGGGTCAGGGGAAGGCCTGGATACCTTCAGTGGTTGCCAACCAGCTTCTGGGTTGTTTGGATTTCATAACTTCTACCCAGGAAACTCAGCTGAAGCCTGCACAGCTCTCCCTGCTAACTGACAACGAAAAACTGCCTTCCTCTTTGTGTCAGCTCTGACGTTCCTGAGCTGCTGCGACTCACCCAAGAAAAGCCTTTTCTGCTGGGTGAGTCGAGTCTGCTAAATGAGAAGTTCAATGTCATCAACGGAGAGTTATCACCAGGAAAATTTAACTGGATGTCTGGAGAGCAGTTCTTTTCGCAGTGACGGAGTGTGGCTTGCTGTTTCATGCAACTGCACCCCGTGTTATTAGGGACAGTGCAGGGCCTGGGGGATGGAATTACAGCCCTGTGGTCTTGCCTTCTCCCGTCCTTATCTTTGTGGCTTTGCTCTAACAGCAGAGCCTTGCTCAGGACTCAAGTTTGTTCAAAAATTAAGGGTCCAGCTGATATAAACAACTCATAAGCTGATACAAACAACTCGTACTGGCTTGTAAAAAGTGTTTTGATGATATAGCTTATAGCAATTTGGTGAGTAAAACAAATTGTTCTAGCCAAAGAGTTTTTGGTCTGTGTCTACGCTTGGGATTTTGATAACAAAAATAGCACAAAATGTCATTGGTAGGTGTCCTGCCAAAAGCTTCCAGCCTGTGTTTGTCCTTAGATCATCTCTGTTTGCTGCATAATAGATTGCGTCTGTTGGAAATACCTTCTTCTAACCTCTGTTTCTTCTTTTCACTCAGAGCACTCACACAAAACTACTGCTTATCCTCTGCAAAGGCATAGAAAGAAGGAGCAACAAGAGCCTGTGGAGGTGTGTGTTTCAATGCTGAACTGGATAAGTGAATCTAAATGACATGGGCCTCCTTCCACTGAGTTACTTAAGTACTTTGAAACAAAACACTCCCCTCCAAACGGTATCAGTAGTCCACAGTACTTACAGGTGTAACAGGAGTTTCCATATTAACCCCTCAGTTGCCTGCCAAAACAAAATTAGGGCAAAGAACTGCTTACTATTTTTTAGATGAGAAAAAAAAAATCATGTGAGGGCCCCTCAGACACAGTCATATTTGACCTCTGATAGAAATGTTCCTCAGAGTGTTTAAAACTCACTGATAATGTTATCTTGTCATGTGTTGGGGGCAGTTAAAAATGCTTTTGTGGCCAAAGTAGCCCCTAAAAGTCACTGATTGATGGGGGGAGGTTCAGCTCTTCAGCTCCTTAGTGGCACTGGCCAGCCCTCACATGCCATTTGGGCCCTAACTCTGATGAAATGTGAGCAACATTCCTTGAACAACAAGGAAGTCTTTAACTGGAACAGCTCCCAGTAAGTACAAATGATGGATCTTCAAAGAGATTCTACGCTCCAGGAAAGCAACTGAAGGAGTTTGGAAGAGATTTGAGAGTTTGATTACACACTGATGATACTCCTGTTGCAAGTTGAGGGGAAGCCTAGCTTGATCTAATTAGCAAAGACTAATGTGAGGACAAAACTGACAGTGGTGACATGTTTTGGGAGGTGATGTTTTTTAGCAAACGACCAGCTCAAAAATTCCAGCGAGAGACCAGTACAATAAGAGAGGTTAATGACTCCAAAATCACTCCTTCTTTTCTAAAACTAAATTAAAATGTTTCTAGAAGTTGGTTAAAATTGTGCAAACATATCCGTGGAGCATTGGATTCATAATTTTGTCTATTTTTAGAGGATCAGTATCGTTCAAGTTTACAACTGGTTTTGGATTGTTTTGGTTATCAAATGATAAGAAGTTGCATGCTGAAAAATGACAAAATTGCAAGAAACAGATCCTAAAAAACAGCTGTAAAAATTATGTTGAGACTAGTCAGTAGATCACAGTTTGGGGTGGTGTGCACCAATTTAAGTTTGCAGATTAAATGGAGATTGAATCAGCATACACTTAATAATTTATTAAGTCATTTTAGAGTTTGTATGGTGAAGTAATCAACAATAATGTTCATCAACATTTATCTTTTGTAACAGATTATATGTTAATCAAATGTATAGCAATAATTCTGTAGGATATTTTTTAGAAGCTTGATTAATATTTATAAAATTAGTAAGCAATATATATGATGAGCAGCTCTTGAGAGCTATAATTTGCTAACATTGACACCCACCCATTTTTCCTCACCCCTAAATTATATGTCTCATTACTTACAAGACTGAGTATTGGTGGTGTTATGGTAGTAACCCTAATGTTAGGTTTTAGTGTTTTAGTATTTCTGTACAACAACTCTGTCTTCTCCGATTAATTAATTCCAATTCTGACTTCACGTCCTAACAATCTTTGTTACAGGGATTGGACCTAAATAAAGGTTAAAATCAAGCAGACGTGTTGAAGATACTGGAACAAGTAGTGAGAAAAAATAGCAGAGTACGTGTAGTTGTGCAAGTAAATAAAGAAATTCTTTGTTATTTTTGGCAAGAGGTGGAGGAGCATGTGATGTCCAGTTGTAGCTTTAGCCAAGGATTTATCTTGGGGCTAAATACTTTATAGGCAAACAGTAATTCCTTTTCACCCCACATCAGCTGAAATACTATTTAGGGCCAAGAATGCTGCTTGCAGAAGTTGACCAGCCCTACAACCAACCACTAATATTCAAGTGATGCATAATATTAGGGGCACGTTGTTACTGAGGGTGTATCCTGTTATTTTGTCAAGACTTGAGCAAGGCAAAATGCTGGACTGTAATGCAGGATACAAAATGGTCATTACACTTGCTCCGTCCTGTTACCTCTATAGCTAGTGGTGTGTTTGATTGACCGGGCTAATGTGGCAGGGACTGCTCTCCAGGGAAGGATGTCAGATCAGATCTGGAAGGTTGGTGCTTCACAGTTATTTTTCCAGGGTGGGAAGGGGAATCTGTTCACCTTATAAAGCAAGAGCACTCATTTAAGTGAATTTGGGAGTTCACATGTTCGCTCTCACCTTGACATCTATCTAAGCTGCGGGTCTTGAGAGTCAGGCCTTTCCCCTGGCACCAGTTGCCTCATTGCTATGTACTTTACGTATCTGAGAATGTTACGGGGAGTTGGCAGCTGACGAGGCGGGAAGAGGAGCTCACCATTTGGGGTGTGATGGTTAGAATGACCGTCACTGGGGGATTTACAGGTGCTCCTCGCGGAGCTCTCACACGCCCGCCTTCCTCCGGGTAGTGACGGACCGGGGCGGGCAGAGGAGAGTTCGCGGTAGGAGCATCTCAACTTGTTCTCGCAGGGCTTCCCGGGGGGGACCGTCAGCCGGTGGCGAGGAGGCAGGTGACGGCCACGGCGATGGGCACGGTGACCGCCACACACCTGCCCCGGCCCGTGGGTGCGGGAGGGCAGGAGAAGCGCCGGGGGGGAGCCGGGTCCGTGCGCTGACAGAGGCTCGGGGCGGCGGCGGGGGCGGCCCCGGCTGCGGCGGGCGGCGCTCGGCGGGGCCGGGCGGGGGCGCTGCCGCCGGGCCGGGCTGGGCCGGGCGGGCGGCGGGAGCGCCCCGCAGGCAGCGCCGCGGGGCTGGGTGGGGGCCGGGGCGCGCCGGAGCGGGGCTGGGCCGGCGCCCCCTCCGCTGCGCTCGGCGGGGCCGCGTCCCGCCGCTCCGGGGCGATGGGCGGCGGCGGGCGCCGCTAGGCCGCCGCGGGCAGGGCGGCGGCGGAGGCGGGAGGAGGCGGAGGCGGAGGAGGCGGCGGCCGGGGGCGGGCTGGGTCCCTCCCCGGGAAGATGAGGCGGAGGCCCGGTCTGCCGAGCGGGCTGAGCTGGGGCTCTTCCCTCCCAGCCGCCAGGACAAGATGGCAGCGGCCGAGGCGGCGGCGGCAGCAGCAGCAGCAGCGGCGGCAGCAGCAGCAGCAGCAGCGGCGAGAGCAGCAGGAGCGGCGGGGCTGAGCGGCTGAGCCCGCCCGGAGCGGCGCTTCCCCGGGGCGCTCCCGGACATGCCCAGGGCGGCGGCGGCAGCTCCAGCGCGGACGCCAGCGCGGCCCGACCCGTGAAGGTGAGCGGCGGGCAGCGAGCGGGGCCGGCCCCGCCGGGCGGGCAGCGGCGCTACCTCCGCCGCCGGCGATCGACCCCTTCCCGCGGGGGCTCCTGGGCGCTCCCGGCCGCTCTTGCCCGGAGCCCCCGCCGCCCTCGCCGCCCTCGCCGAGCCCGAGCAGCGCCGCTCCTCCTCCCCGTCGCCTTCGTCCCCGAAGTTCCCCCTTCCCCGAGGAGCCCCGGGTGCCGGGCGAGGCCGTCGCCGCCCGGCGGGGGAGGCGTGTCCGCCCCTCGCCCGCTGCCGGCGGCGGCGCTGCCCCGCTCCCTTCCCCTGGCGGGCGCTGCCCCGGCGCTGCCCCGCTCCCCTCCCGGGAGCCGCCTCCTCCTCCTCCTCCTCCTGCCTTGTATGGACCCGGCCGGCGGGGGGTCCCGCGGGTGGTGCCCGGGCGCGGCTCCGCCCGCTCTCGGGTCCTGCTCGGCTTTCGCAGCCGCGGTGGCTCCGCGTAGTCCCGGCGGGACTCGCCCCGACCCCTGAGGAGACACCCGCGGGACCCCTCCTGCGCCGTGGGGGGAGCTGGGGCGGCAAATGGTGCCCAGGGCCGGGGTAAATAGCAGCAACTGGAAAGGAAGCGGACGCTTTAAAATTTGGTCAGTTCCCAAGAGCGAGCTCCGTGAAAAACGGAGGGGTTTTATTGCTGGAGGCTTTGCCGTAATGGTTGCGGCAGGGATTGTGCGGGGTTTGTTCTGGATTCGTCGCGATATCAATTGTAAAACTGGCAGGTGCGTTTGCATGTGCTTACCGCTATAGGAAATAGTGATGGGGGTTTTTAAAAATATTTTTATTTAAATTAAGCACTCCGTCGTCAGTGCTATGTGCTTACGTGTATATAAATATCTTTCTTTTGAGGCTATACTTTTGTTACTAACTGTTGCGTCGGACTTGAAATTTCAGAAACAGCAGTCGTTTCTTTTTTTTGTTAACTTAGTTGTTTTGAGACTCCCAGGCTTACCTTCCCAGAAATTATGTGGTGCTCTGATGTTTTTACGTCTTCCCGCTACTGTATAACCTTGTTTATTTCGGTTTAGTATCTTTAAATTGTCTCTCATGTTAATAACATTTTTTTCCACAACTACATTAAGTAAAGCTACAGTTGTTGATAACAATGCATATTTCTGTGGTTGTTTCCCCCCCCCCCCCAGTATTACGTCCCATTACATCATTTGCAGAAAGTTTAATCTCTGGTTGATTTCACACAAAGTAGAAAAGCCTGGCTGGACTATGAATACTTACTTTCTGATATAATGATTCTATAACAGAGTTAATCTGCTAAAGGTTCCTATAGACTAAGTTTAAAATACACGCAGTAACTGTCTAATAAGCGTGGCAGCCAGCAAAGAGATTAATTAAGCACCTGGAAAATAGGTCAATACTGTATTACGAAGTGGCAGAGTGAGATCGCAGATAAATAGAGCAAAGTGTTAACGTGGACTACGGGGAGAAAAGTGACACCGATATAACAGCGGTGACGGCTTTATCTGTGCTGCCGCGGACCATTTATGGTAGCGGCGCGGTGAGGTGATGTTTACAGTCATGTAAAACAGGAATTAGGCAGAGTTTTCACTTAATGCACTTGTTACCGGGCACTTCTGTTGCAGTGCGAGTTCTGCTGCTTGCTCGGGGTGTGGCACCGGTTGTGCTTGTAAATTATTTTTTCATGGATATATTTGGCTGGACGCTCTAATTCCGATTGTGGTGGTGGTGGCGGCGTGTGGCTCTCCGGGCTTGAGGACGATTTGTAATTGGACGGATTCCATCAGCTGGAATAAAGTTTCATTGAAAAATTGCTCGGGAAGCTGCCCCTGACCTGGGGTTCTCTGCCGGTACTTGTGGTTTTTCTTTGTTTAGGGTTTTTCGTGTTTGTGTGCTTCCTCCCTCCTGTCTTTCAAACAACTACCTACAGAAATAGGGAAATGAGACCAGCTCTGCATAACGAGATAGCAGAGACAAAGAGAGGGTGTGGGGAAGAAGAGTGAGCTTGCTACTCACTCATCTTAACAGAACTGACTCATAGAAATATTGGAATTTGCACGTGCTGCTTTTCTTGTTGTGTCCTCCAGTTGGTAGCAGTTGCTTCAAAACAAACGTTGTTTGGGAGGTGATTTTTCCAAAAGCATCTGTCGGACTGATTGTCGGTCTGTTTATGGGGATGGGAGGCTGAGCAGCGCTTCTGGAGGCAGAGGGTTGGCTTACCAGTTCCTGGGTGGAAGAGAATTAACTATGCTTAATTCTTGTGCAAAGCCCAATCTAAACGTGTAGGAAATGTCAGGCTGTGTTTCTCTGAGCTTGGGTGTTTAGGTATGTACCTCTCTGTACTATTTTAAGGGATTGCAGACTTCCTGTTTTTTAGAATAGTTTTCCTTTTAACAGTATATATTCCCTTTCTTGTATTTTCTGTTTTGCCAGCATGCAGATCATAGCAACAAAGGCCCTTTTGACAAAGCAGCGCATTTTGAAACAGGAATTTTGTAGTTGGCTTTCTTACGTGTGTGTGTGGGAAGAACAGCACTACTAACGGGATCAGTGCTGTCATTTGGGGCCGAATTGGAGGAATATTTGTATTTTGGAGGAATGCTAAATACAGATGGAACAAGTCCTTTTAGTTGAGCTAAATGTTGCTGTTGCAGTGTGAGGTCTGTGAGGTATCGTGGCCTGAATGCTGTGTACATACAGAGTAGTTACTATAGGCAGTGTCACTTTTTGCCCAGAACTCTGGGGAATAAAGCAGAGGACAGCTATACTTTTTTTTTTTTTTTTAAATTTGATAAGCCTTAGCTGCTCTGGATATATATAATGATATCATCCAATATGCAGGAGCATTACAGCTGAGGTAAACTGCTCTGCCCCCTGACAGAAGTATGAGTTGGGCAGAGCAGGCCTGATATCATCTGGTGATACTCGGCCGAGGGAAGAAGAAACACGGAGGGAGGATGGTGGTGATACCAACATTTACCTTTTACGAGTTTGCTGTTGAATTTTGTGAAACAGCTTCCACCTATCAGACCTCAGAAAAGCTTGTGTGTGCCATTTTATGTTTTCCGAGTTTTTTTCAATTCCCTGGTGATGGTACTCGGTGCAGTTAGAGGAGACTTTCAGAAGTCTTGGCATGGGATTGATCTGATGAAGAAAACATCCTTAGTGCTTCTTCATTGTAACTGTGATGGTCCTGTAGATGTGTTACGTAAACTCACAGCTGCTCTAACTATTACATTTTCCTGCCTTTGAAAGTGAGGGAAATAAGAGTTCAGCTTGATGCTGGGGAGCTTTTACTAAGTTAATGTCTCTGTTCCTAAGTCACTGAAATATTTATATTTCTTCAGATCTCTTAAGTGGCAATCAGAGGTGGAGTGGAAAATAATGTATTACTTTCAATAGGTCCTGAAAGAAAAGCTCATTTTTTGGGTAAGTATG